AAGATTATATGATTGTGCGTCCTTGTCTCGCTTATACTTTGCATATGTGTGATATCCGTGTAGTATACATACCAATATATTGCGCACATGGATACGACTATAAAAAGAAAATGTGATACAAAAAAAGACTATCAGTTTATCTTTGTCCCGTATATGGTAGAGGAACAAGAATAGTAATTATCTGATATCATTTAACAATTGTATACATAGTAAATTTATTATGAAATTATTGAATTACAAGATATATAAGAATAAATAAAGAGTGTCCCAGACCTAACGCACTACTTGCTAATGGCAGATTCCTGAAGTCATTTAGAAACGATAGTTCTAATACCAAAATATTAAACATACAGTAGTTTTCAAATAGGAAACGTTTAAAAATGTCCAATCGAGTTGTCCATTATTAGCGCGTTCAGGTCCGTCACATAGTGAAGGATCATAATTGTTAGTGATCATAAATGTATTTCTAAAAAGGGATATCAGTCGAGGATAATTATTCTTTATATTATTTTTGTATTAGGTGTACAAAAAAGTTCTGAGCTTTTTTTTGTAAAATTCAATCTTTATTCAAAAACAAACAAAAAATATTAATTAGCGAAATATTCCCCGTTTGCAACAACGACCTTTTGCCATCTTTCGGGTAACTTGCGAATTCCTTGACGATAGAAGCTCACCGGCTTCGAAGCGATAAAGTCATCAATGCATTTTCGTATCTCTTCAAATCTCATGAAATGTGTATCAGCCAAATGATGCTGCAGCGAACCGGAATAGATAGTAATCGAAAGGCGCCATGTCTGGGCTATACGCCGCGTGCGGGAGAAGTTCTCAGGCTAACACAAAGATATGATATTGAGTCGCTTTCGCAACATGTGGTCGAGCATTGTCATGAAACAAGATCACTTTACAACGTCCTTGGCTAGTAAATGGTCTCTTTTCTTGTAATGCATCGCTCAAATTGGTTAATTGTTGTTGGTAGTGGTCTGCCGTGATTGTTTCACCCGGTTGTAACAACTCGTAATACAACACACCTTTCCAATCCCACCAGATACAGAGCAAAATCTTCTTGGCGTGGGTATTGGACTTTGGTGTCGAAGGTTGACCAGGATCAACCCATGATTTTCTACGTTTAGGTTATCAAAGAATCCATTTTTCATCACCTGTAATGATTTTGTGCAGAAAATCTTTTTTCCGGAACTTTGAAAGCAAAGTGAGTGTCACACCGACGATTTTTGTTGTCTTCGGATTGACAATTCATGTGGAACCCATCTTCCCTTCTTTCTGAACCTTTCCCATCGTATGTAAACGTACGGAAATGGTTTGCTGCGTAACGCCAAGCTGTTCTGCAAGCTCCTTTTCAGTTTGCGCAGAGTTTATATCCAGCAGTGCTTGCAATTCGTCCGTTTCAATCTTTTGAGGGCGTCCAGCACGCGGTTCATCTTCAAAACTGAAATCTCCTTGGCGAAATTTTTGATACCATCTTTTACATGTAGTATGACTTACAGCGTTCTCTGCATATGCAGCACAAACATTGCAATGGCTTCAGCAGCATTTTTCTTCAGATGAAACGCGAAGTGGATAGAAAATCGAATATGCTCTTTTGTTATTGCCATCGTGAACACTACTGATTTATGAAATTATGTGCATCAAACGCCAAACCGTATGGCATTTTAGAAGGCCAAATGTCAACGCTTTAAAACCGCAAAAAGGCGGCAAGATATATAAAATTTAAATTGTTATTTCGGTTGCATAAAATCTAAAGCTCAGAACTTTTTTGTACACCTAATACATGTAATATAAATGTTAGTTATAATTTTCTATTTAACAATGTAATTGTTATAACAGCAATCAAGATCCTACTTACCGAGAAATGGGCTATGTTTCTTGTTGTTGTTTATAAACAACAAATAAAAATCTTATATTATGTCAATACTTATTGTTAATACAGGATGTTCTTTTCTAACTTTTACATCAAAATATCTCGAAAAATATGGAAGATACAGAAAAACGTTTCAGATAAAAGTTGTAGGATTTCAAGGGGACCATATAATTATGATATTAATTCATTTAGCCGTACGTAATTGCATAACTACAAAATACATAATTTTTTTGAAAAGCAACTATGTGTTTTCTTTATACTAATTTATCTCATTATTCTGTACATAAAAGTATTAAGATACATTTATCAAGAAATAATTTAATAATAATTTAAGAGATATTTTATATTTTATGTTAGAATATACTAGAATATAATATAAAATACCTCGTAAACTATTGATTTTTTGATATTTATATTTTTACTTTTATTTCAAAATAACTGAAACAATCATATTATATAACAAAAATATATGATCCATTTAAAAAAATAATGTTGATTTTGAAATTTTTTAAATGCCTTTACTTATAAAAAAAATTTATACACTATACAATGATCCTCTCGAAATTATGCAACTTTTATATATAACTTTTTCGTACAACTTATAATTTATAGTTTACAAGTTTTTTGAAATGTGCAAGTTAAGTGTCCCACTCTATTTTGCATTAATTCATCCTGTTTATTATTATTCTATTACCATTATTTATCATTATACATTTTGAAACATGTATATAAATTTTAGATATTATAAGTATACGCATATATATATACATATGCAAATAAAAAATTCATAAAAAGCGAGTGCCCATTTGTTTTATTGCATCACTGCTTTCTATCTCAAAAGGCCAGAAAGCAGTTAGAGAATAGGCCTACTGGAAAGCATTTCCAGTAGGCCTATTCTCTAACTTCTTAACGACAGTTTCACTAGCTAGTGATGTCGTTATGCAGCTTTTTTTCCATACATTATACCTGCGCAATGACAACGTAACGACACTGTCGTTAAGAAGTTAGAGAAAGAAAAGAATAGACTTACAGGCTGTAGCAAAACGATATGCTTCGATTTTGATCGCTATCGGTGCTTCGTGTATCATCGGCATAGTATTATAGAAGAATAAGAATGGCATGTGAAAGAACGTAATTCCGTATCCTTTTCTATCTTTCCTCTCTGCAGTACGTCCGCGTCAGCAATGCGATTATTTTGTACGTGTATGGACACACACCAATACATCGAAACTGAAATTTTATTTCTCGGCGTTGGTAAACCTGAGGTCGGAGTTTCGGAGTATCACCTCACGAGATCTCCAATATCAATTTGGAATTTGCCCGTCACTCCTGTCGACCCTTAAATTTGATCCGCATCAAAGTAGAATCGAATTGAAGACTTTGGAAACTAGATTATTGTTAATATTCATCCTATTAACATTCACTCACATTGGCTGCGTTCAGCAAAAAAAGCAGCTTTGCAATTGTTGTAAAAATCTTTGATATGATTGGTTTTTGTCTTTAATTTCTCATGGATCTAAATATATAAACCAATCATATTGAAGAATCTTACCAATTACAGAACTATTTTATCCGTTAAACGCAGCCATTCACAATTTCTGCTACTTTCACAATTCTACAACCACCTTTACGCAATTGTAGAATAGCTTAAATCAATAATTCGTCACTTATCGACTCATAAATAGAATGCATTCCTTTATTCACTCATGCTATGACGTAATGATTATGTACTGCGGCTATCGTTCTATTTTAGTTTCGTGCGCTTTTTAAGGCCCCTGACTACTCAGCGAAGAATTCCGCGTTGACGGTAGCGACGTACCGTCGCGGTGAAAAATAGAAGCTCATACATTCTTGTTCATCTTATCCTTATCCTTATTCATATATTTTCATTTTTACAAGTGACATGCGGACAATGAAATTTTTTATAATAACTATTTTCATTATTGTGTACTTAATCATGCAGATATGACTTGTTTCGTACTTACCAGAGTCGTAAAAATAGGCGGCAACTAAAATTATCATCGGACATTATGGGTGCGTTCCTTTATTCACTCCAAGTACTGTCAGTACTACGAATAGCGTTCCGATATAGAGAGCAATGCACTTCGAGGCCGTGGTCCGGTTTAGGCTCAAAGCATTTTTATCTTTATTGTTCATTAGTGTCAGTTCACAATAAATATTTAATCTTTAAACCGTAAGAAATTGACCAATCATAATCGATTATTCTTTTTATATTCGATTATAATTGGTCAATTTCTTACTTTTTAAAGCTTAAATCACCTATTGTGGACCGACACTTAGATGTAAAACAAGGATAGAATGACGCATAGTGCTTTGAAAATATTGCCTTGAATTCTATGACATCATTGATTTTGACGTACTTCCTATTGCGGTTACTGCAACCAGCGAAGTAAAGCAGTTAGAGCACAAAGATGGCTGCTTCCATAGAAACTGAAATAACCTTGATTGATGCTGAAGAAAATAAGCGTATAATATGAAATAATATAATATAATGAAATTATT